AATTCTTTTCGCTATTGCAATTTGTTATTAATAAACAATTTACTCAATTGCTAAGGCATATTGGAGAATATCTTCTTGAATTCGCTTGATAAATTCAGTTTTCTTCATTCTATTTGGAAATTTGTGAAATTTTTTGTTATTTATTTATTCCGTCTGCTGCGAAATTGTTTACTACACGTTTCGTAATGGAGGCGTTTGTGGAAAATCTGAATGAATAATAAGTGAATGCACACATTTGTTTATAAAATGCATTTTTCCACAACATTAATTATTATTTATTAGCAAACGTGCCGCGATTCCGCAATGACCGGGCGCAATTGTGTGAAAATTGAGTGGCAGGCGAAACCTTTTGGCTAATCGATTTTAACAAAAAAACAATCATGGAAAATACATGAATAAAATATATGAATACATACATTTATCATATATATTTAAAGATGACAAAGCAGAGCTAAAGCTAATATCAATTAACTTGGGCAAATGCCCAATGATTAATGAATATAATTTTATCCGTTGAATAACTGGGAAATATATAAGCTTTACAATTTTTAAATAACAAAAAACCAATTGTATGTATTGCATACAACAACCGGATATATTATCCGTTTTTATCCGATAATATATATTCCTCAAAAATCGCCTTTTAACATTATTCGAATCGACATATATTTTAATTTAAAATTAATTATATATAATCTCGATTCGAACCAGTTTTAGGTGTCAATTTGTGTGCTCAACAATGTGATAATACCAACTGCATGAATAAGCATATAGGATAAATTAGCCACATTTATCTAAATACTCAAGATGTGTTTAAGACAATTTGCACAGCTTTAAATTTTTGACACAATCTACAATAAAATGAATTTTTTATATTATAGATAATTATGGATAATTATGTGACTAAGCTTTTGGTGTGAATTTTTAATGTTGAAGCTACAATTAAAAGTGGGATAGGTATATAGTAGTTGATGTGAAATTCTCTAGAGTTAATTAAATGAATTTCAACAACGATCACGCCTTTTAAAACTATAGAAATAAATTACTTTTCCTAGCTGCTAGATAATTAACATAATGGCTCGAGTGGCAACTAGTAAAGACTTTGTTATTATATGAAAATTATTTATTATCTTCCCATGCAGTCGTACTTATAATATATATATATATATATTTATACGAATGACCATATGAATATGTTTGGACTCTATGTCATAATCAAGTTAAAAATAAAGCATAATATCACGACGCAAAAAGTCATCAAACACAAGTACTTATAAACCCAAAGCGATAAATGCAGTTCGTATAAACGATGCGGAATAAAAAACAGAACAAAAACAACAACAAAACTGAATTGGATTGCATAAAGAAAAAGGAATAGTAGATGGCATAAAACAATTGACAAAAGAATGCGGCAATTTTTTCTCTTTTTTCTTATTCGCTAAATTGAAGTGCTTCTGATAAAGTCATAAAAATATATATACATATATAATATGTACATATATTTAAAGATATATGTAAGTGCGGCCTTTGAGCGCGGTCAATGCGTGATTTATTGATGCAGTAATAAAATGAATGAAATTGAAACATCAAAAAAGCGACAATGACCGCAGTCAGTTGGTGATCAACGTTCTGGCTTGCAGCAATTGAATTAAAGCGACATTCAAATACGACAACAACAACAATAACAATATGTAATTAATAATGAAACGAAACACAACTCTTTCAATTTAACAGCCTTTGTGTGTGTGTGTGTGCTCTGTCCATAACTTTTAATAGCCGCAGCTCTGTGATTTATGTGCTTGAATTAGCTGCGGCCGTTTTCACGTTCCAGTTGCCAAAGCACACAAAAAGCGTTAATTTCACCAAACATTTGGCTTGAAGTAAGTCTGGGTGTGTGTGTGTTTGTGTGTGTGTGTGTGAATCCAAACAATTCACAACAAATGTAAATGCATTCACCTAGAAAATCTATTTGCAAATGAATAACACGTGTGCCACAGTCTGCAAGAAGGTCAAACGAATCACGAATTATAGCAACAATAAAACGAAACCAAGTCAGACGCTCAAATTCAATTTGCCAATGCATAAAGCAAAGACAAAGGCCCGCTCTAGTGGTCCAAAGTCGTAAAAATCATTTAATTAACCGAATTTTTGCAATGCTCAACGTATGAAATACCCGTACCAAGAGATTTATTTATATTAAATTTATGAAAAAGCATAGGGTGACTAATTGAAACTACATTTACTTTTAAGGCATAGATTAATATATTCTTTAATTTCGAGCATGCAATCAATTGTTGTTAAGAGTATATTTAAAGTAAAATTTAAACATATTTTATATATATATATATATATATATATATATATATATATATATATATATATATATATATATATATATATTTTTTTTTTTTTTTTTTTAAATATTTTATTTATTTCTAAATAAATTTTATATATTTAAAAAAAATATATATATGTTGGGCGAAATATTAATGCACGATATTAAGTATACGCATGCGTATACGTAACTTGTTATACAAACAATAAATACACAGTTAATAATTTGCCGATAATTTTTACTGAACACGCAAGATATTTTAGCTCTGCTAGCTAAAGCAATAATAGCTGTGGCATATTATTGGGTTGGGTATCTAATAGTCGGGCTACAGTGAATAACTCGCTTGCATCGCTACAAACAATTGTCAGTTCCGCGGGCACAATAAATATGTTATGAAAACGACAATTTGTCGGCTGACTTATGACTTTATCATATGCAAATTGTGACAAGAAATGTGTATAGATATATTGCACAGTTTGGTGTTTACAGCATTTGACATTTAAATACATTGTTATTGTTGTTCATTTAAAAACAATTTATTTTGGAAATAACAAAAATATAATATAATAAATAAAAATAAAAATAAAAATAAAAATAAATATATATGCATATATATATGCATGCAACTCACGCGCGCTGGCAAGAGATCAAGTTCATTGAATTTTCATATTGGCGACAAATTGAATATAAAATTTAAATAAAAATAAATGTAAAAGCACAAAAGAAATGTCTTTGCTCTGTGTGAAACGAGATAAAAGCAGCGAAAAGATCGCCTTGTCATTTAATTGAATATATTTAGTGTTGTGCACGGCGTTGCGAGAGTTCGCAAAAATCAAATATATACACATATATAATATATAGTATATATATAAACAAAATATATAAAGCATTTTAAAATAACGATGACAAAATCGCGCTCACCGTATTTTTGTGCAACAAACAAAAAGCGCTAAAACAAGACAAGAGAGGAAGATGTATTGGTTTTGAAATAATTTTTGTTATTTTTATTTATGTTATTTTTTTATATATATTTTTTTGCCTTATTTTGGGGGGCATTCGCCCAGGAAGGCGGCAGCGCAATTAGATTAGAGGCGTGGCCATAATTCATGTGTTGTCTCGGCCGCCCATGTGATTAATCACGGTTTATGTCAAGAATATCAAGCAGTTAGTGCCCCAAACATGACTGAGCGGATAAGCTAAATATATTATCCGCTGCTCTTTGGCGGCAAATTGGATAAAAGTGATTGTAGATATAGATAAAAATGACTAAGATATACATATTTAAATAACATACATATATGGTTAAATATATATTTTCGCATATATCTTAAATGCATTAAAATATATCCCTTGTTCAGCGGATAAAAGCAAATTTGTCAACAGAACAATGTATAGATTTTATAGAGCTGCTACGGATAAACAAAATTTTTTTGAAATGTTTTGTGAAATAAGAGATTTCAGTGAATCTACGGCTGTAAGCTATCTGTCTCTCTTGTCCCAATGCGGATAAAATGAAGTTATGAGTGGGAAAATTCAAATACACAAAGTTAACACTATTAAAAAAAAAAACATGTATTGGTAGAAATTCTGTATTACTTGCAGTTATCCAATTAACACATTTTTACCCTTAGGGTAGTACCCAGTCGAGCATTCTTTTGTTATTTCATTCCTACTTAATTCAAGCTCATTATTAGCCAATTACGCTACAATCAACAAATATCTTTGTATTGTGTAAAGCTTCGGTTGCTATTATTGTAATTCATATTATGGCAAAAATGCATCAACAAAAGATATAGATAGATTTATCCGTCATTATCCGCCTTTGTTATTTATATATAGTTCATTCATAGCATATGACGGCATACAAATAAAATTTGAAAGCCCATAAATTATGGTAACATTTTATAAATATTTATATCGATGCGATTGCCTATTGAGACCTTGAACAATTGAAGAGAGTTTGACCCATGTACTAAGAAGACATTGAAGCGCTTCAAAAGGAACTATTCAAATCGTAAATTTATGCTTAATAGATAAATATTGGCTGAGATAAAAGCAAGAGAATGCTCAAAGTTCAATTGTGGGTGTGTCAGACGTAATATAGCAATGAATTTGGCAAGGCAAAAGCTCTTGGATAATCGTCTGGGAAAATACTAAAGATAAGGGCTAGATAAGATTACAGGTTATGAATCCAAAAAAGAGGTTGTAAATACATCGACTATTTTATATAGGATGGTGAAATAAATGCTTTGTGGAATATTCAATGTAAATAAGGGTTAAATAAGTTAATAAATTAATTTTCTTTGAGATTAATTTTAATTTGATAAAGTTATATATTGCTTTAAAAATATTTTCCTTATATATCACGTCTATATATCTCCTTTAAAAAATATTTGAGTCATATATTTAAGTTTTATTTTTTTATTTTTTTTTATTTTTTTATTTTTTTTTTTTTATTTATGTATTGTATAATAAAAATATTAGTAAAAAGTCTGTTTTCATATTAGTTCATATAAGTATATAGTATATTTGCTTAATTTAAATGTTAGCCACAGCTTAAATTAATATAATACAGTTCAATTTTCATTTTGCACCAAGCACCAAGCAAGTTAGTAAAAAATAGAAACAAATAAATAAAGAAAACTGAAAATTGAAATAAACATACCCAAAAAACAATTGCGTTATTTGCGCTGGCGTCTGGCAGATATTGTGCACGTTCAGGGTGCGGGGGCGGGCGAACAGCATGCTCGAGTTGTTGCCCAACAGATTGGGCAGACAGGCAGCCTCCGCTATGATGGCCGACGTTGAGTTGCTGCGCAGCGTTGTATAGGCGCGCAGTTGATCAACATTTGCAGCATTTGCCGCCGCAGCAGCAGACGTGGAGCGCAGCTCGACAGCTGTTGTTGTTTCCTCTAGGGTCTCGACCAAGTCTTCAGCTGAATCCAGCTGCATGGGCTGACTGCTGTTGTTGTTGTTAGTTTTACTGCGCAGCTTGTTGTAGACATTATTGCTGTTGTTGTTGTGATTGTTGCGATTGTTGTTGATGAGATTTGGTATTTTGGCGCGTGGATTCTTGCTTCGATTGTTGCCGACAATCGCTTGTGTTGCCATTGTGCTGCTGGCGTTGTTGTTGTTGTTGCTGCTGCTGCTGCTGGTGCTGCTGCTGGTGCTGTTGAAGCGTTGTTGCAGACGCATTTTGGACAATTTGCTGCGCATTGAATAAATAATTTAAACGCTTCGATTTGTTGACCTAGTGCCAAACATTTCACCTTTTGCGTTTTTATTGTTTTTATGCTTTTTGTTTATTGTTGAGTTGCGACGCCGGCGACAACATTTCACAGAGCTGCAGCGCTGCCTTTCGCTTTCAACTAAAGAATTTTTGTGTTGCGCAAAATAGAAAATAAACTGAGTTTTTTTTTTTTTTTTTTTTTTTTTAGAAAGAATAAAACCAAAACAAAATGTTGATAAGCTTTTGTTAAATATTGTGTATAAAATATGCGTATATGTGTGTGTATATTTTCAAGTCACTTATTTGTTGTTTTCTTTAGCAACTGTGTGGGCGTGTGCACCTTGACAAATATTTGGTTTTGCTTTTCAATTTTTTTTTGTTATTTTTTTGCGCGCTGCAAATTAATTTCTTTTATATATTTGTTTTCTTATATAAATTTAGAAATGATTTTATACAGACATAGGTATGCGTGTGTTTGTATATAAATATTTTGAACGAACGGAAATTGCCTCACACACAGCGTAACACGCGAATAGCACTCGAAAGCGTGCAGCTTTTGAAACTCTGCTCACACACACACACACACACAACGAACAATGCACAACGTTGTGAACGCGCCGAGCCAACGTTGCCGAATGATTCGCCCAGCACAACAGAGCGCGCAGAAGTACTACGCTCAGCGTCGCGACGCTCGGCCAGCGGTCGCTGCGCACTGCGCAGTTGCCGCTCAGCCACTATTGCTCTGAGAGCGCACGCACGTGTGTTGCCCTCTCTATGTCACTCGCTCACTGTGGCTTTCACCTATGCGCGCGCCCTACTCCACACTCTTTATACTGCTCAACGTGTTTTATATTTGCTGTTCGCTTTTCCTCGCTAAGTTTTGCTCCTGTTGTTTTTCAAAACAAACATTCAATCAAATGCTGTCCATCTCGAACTATCTGCTCTTAGCTTACAGAGCGCGTGGGCTGCATTCGACTTACGAAAAGTTATGTTTTTATTTCTTATTCGGCATATGGATCGGACGTTCATCAAATGGGTTTCATAGCAACAAGCCAGCGCTGCTCGCAATTTCCACAATTTGGAAGCGGCGTACAGTGGGCGAAAATTATCAATTTGTCAGCAAAATATGCTTAGAGATTGTATACAAAAAAGAAAAAAAACAAGAACTGTTAAATAAAAAAATAAAAAAAAATGTAAATGTAATATAAAATAAAATCGACTTAATATAAGACTTATTTCGAAATCATTTTATATTTTCCATAAATTTATATAATATTTCATTTTAATAATATTAAGCATAATAATTTATTCTTTTCATATTTTTAAAAAGGGAATCTTCTAATTTTAGCCCATTGTGAGTGACTTTCTCTTTTTCTCTAATACGGATTTCCAAAACAAACTGTCTGAGCTCTCGACAATGAAAGTTATTATAATCAATGTGGAATCACAGTTTTTTTCCTTCTCTTTCGCTTCCTATACTATGACTAACTCCTTGAACTGCTCCTAATTACAAATTATTGGGATTACTCATTGGTATTTTAGATTGTGCATACAAAAAGTAAAAACAAAAAAATTAGGCATTTTGTAGGGGCCAATGTGAGTAACAATCGGAGCCAGATAAGTTACGGCGATAAGGTCTAAAAATTGGATGTATGAGTGCAGAAAACACGGTAACAGCTGCTCCTTAAATAGGATCCCCAAAACAGGTAATTCATATGCTTATGAGCTGTATGCTAAGGTATTTCCGCGCAGCTAGCCAAAATATATGAGTTCATCTGATAGTCAGCAGCTGTTTGTGGGCGTGTGTGAAAGAAAGGCTAACCTATATATAAATAAATGTATCTGTGAGATACTATATATGACAGTCCAGATGCCAAATTTAAATACTAACAATAATTTATTGACGCCGCTCGAAAAGAGATTATGAGCGCGTGTAGGTGAATGAATACATACAACATATAGCCATACATATATCTATTTTGTGTTTAAAGAAATAAACTGGCGCAGTAAAGAGGGCGTTGCTTCAAATATTATTATGTATGTCAGGGCTTGCTCTTGGCACTTGTGCCATACGAAAGTTCAAAAAGATTTGCGCACATCCAAGCAACTATATATCTATCTATATCAATATCTATAAACACATATATAGTTTATATTATATGTATGTATGTTTTTCGGCTGTCATGTACGCGCCTTAAATGAGCATTTTGCGATGATGCCATTTTTGTTGTGGGCTGTTTTTTTTTCTTGTTAATTAATGATCTATTGAAAACATTTAAGGAAAAAAAAAAACAAAAAATGAATAGACTGTGTGTTTAAGGTGAATACGTTTAAGAAAAAGCTTACAAATTGTGAATTCGTTTAAATCCGGATAACAAGTGGTGCTTATAGATTTGGCATACATATAGCTGTCTGCGGATAACATACATGTTTACCTGAATAAAACATTCTGAACGAATAATGTGGTAGATAAACTATGTTTCAATGTACGAATAAAATGAAATGGATACAAATATATTTGTAGAGGGTGTATAAGATTAATTTTAATTGACTGGATAACACAGATGTTTTCTCCAAACGAAATATTCGAAATGGATAATATACAGAAAAAAAGACATATATAATATGCACGTAATGCTTATAGTTTTTGCTTGCAAGTGGATAAAATATTTATATAATGGGTACTGTAAACAAAATATTCTACGCTGATGAGATATATTCTAAATTCAAACAATCTCGTAATAAATAGTTTTAAATTTGATTCTATTTTAATAAATTTAAATTAATGCTTCTACTAGCATTTGAAAAATAACGGTAAACATTCGTTTACTCATATTTAATATCGCTCACAGGAAAATTGAATGATTCATCTAATGAAGGGTAATATCGAATATCAGAATCTATATTTCCGCTTGACTGCGCAACACATTAAAACTCGATCAAAGTTTAGCATGTAATCGTGTCAGCTAATTTGCAAGAAATTAGGCGTTTGATTAGCGCTTGGCGGCGTTTGTTTTCTGTTTTGTTTTCTTTTATATTGGCATGAGCTGAGTAGGTCGCAAAAGTAAGGCAATTAAACATGCAGGTATATTATAATTAGAAATATTTAGAAATGTGTTCTAAAGATAATCCTGTTGGGAAACAAGGCTTGGTATGCTTAAATCTATGTTTATCATTTAAAAAGAATTTCCATTTTTGATTTATTTATTTGTTTATTTTTTTTTTTTTTGATCAATTAATTTGTTGTAATTTTTTATTTAGCATTTAACTTATAAATTTTCATCAATTCACACAAAATTAAAATTAAAATATTAATATTTTTTGTTTTTACAATATTTATAAATACATATTTATTTTAATAACATTTATTAATTCTATTAATTAAAATTAAAAAATGTATGCATTCAACTAGCTAATTTTGTTTTGAATTTAATAAATATTCAAAAATTAAATTTTTAACTTTTTGCAAGCTCTAACAATGCATTGTAGCACCCAAAGTGTAGGGTATGAATTAGAGCAAAACTAGACCTAAATAGTTGAAAACATTTGCAAATTGGTCACGCCAAAGTAATGTAAATGACAAATATATTGGCGCTTCCCCCGTCCTCTCTCTCACTCTTTCACTCTGTCTCACTCCCTGGTGCCTGAAAGGGTACCGCGGGTGGGACCGAGGTTTGATGAGTTTGATTGGCAGTTGATTGCCGTTTGATTGACAAATTGTGCGTTTGTATGCGTTCGGAAGGTTTAACGCCTTAATCTCGGCATTGAGCATATTCTGTTGCCTAGATATTTAAATTTCAAATATGTAGTTTTACTTGTATTTTGTATTGCGTTGTTTGACTGTGATAAGCGCTGGGCGCTTACTTTATGCGCATATTTCATGACAATTCAATCAGGCGAACCGCAAATGGACATATAGATGTGGACATATGTGTCTGAGTGTGTGCGTGTGTGTGAATAGCGATAAGTTTCTAAAAGCTAGGGCGTAGATAAAAAACCACTGAAAACAATCAAAATAAATACAACGAGAAACTTTATGCCATATTTGCATAGGCGTATGTGTGATATTTACTTTAAAAAAAATATATATATTAAAAGAGAGGAAGAAGAGGCGCATACGAGACGCCAGCCAGCCAAAAATGAAATACAAATTTATCGCGCGCAAACACAAACGACCTTCAGGCTTTTATGGCCAGCGCTTTGCCATTTTTGCTTACAAACGATTTTATTTCCGTTTTGCTTTAATTGCATTTCACTCACTCACGCTCAATTGCCGCAGTCGCCTTCCTCTTCCTTGCAGCCTTTTTCCTCAATAACTGTTATTGTCATGAATGCAATTAATTCTTTTCTTGTTTACGTTGCGGCGCTCGTCCAGCATGATGAACGAGAGAGAGAGCGAGAGAGAAAGAGAGAGTGAGGCAGAGGGAGTTGCAGAGAGGATTACAGCGCAAATAGCGCTCTCTCACGCACAATACTTCATATTCGGTCTCTCTCTTTCACTCAGGCAACTTTAAGCAAAAGAACAACTCTAAACAAAAGACTGAGCATTGCGTTGAGCATTTCTAGCAGAGCATTTAATACTCTTCAATTGAAGTTGCCAAATTAGGAAATTAATATTAATATTTTCGGTTATAACAAACAATTTATTCCTATTCAAATATACACGACATTTTAATACATACATGACATTTTAATCAAGTCTTTAGATTCAACAGCGGCCAGACGGAGCAATATACTCGTTTCGCTTTCGTTAAGGGACATATTAGACTTGTGATGTGATGTGATGTGGTAAATGCACACAACTATAACCAAAAATCTCAAAAAATTCTCTTTAGACTTGACTCTTGTTCTTATTTGTCAAGGTCTTCAGCTGAAATTTCATAACATTACATGTTGAACAAATATTTTGATATTTTATCTCTAACTTTTGTTTATAATCATTATTTTCTGGTTATAGCGACTGAGATTGCAGCTGTTTCTACTTAATTGTTGTTAATGCGATAACATAAAAATATTTATTTAATCTATTTAAGCAGAAGATACTTTATTAACTAGAAATTTTAGTTGTTTTTGCTGTTCTGTTGATGTTTATTAATGAATTTCGGCGTCCTTTTTTTTCTTTTTGACTAAAATTTATTTACTATTTTTGTGTCGCTTGTCTGCGTATTTCCGCGTTTATCACTTAAGTGCAAAAGTTGATTATTGTCAAATAATATTATTAATAATACCAATAATAATAGAACAACAATGCTTGCCTTTTGCGGATGACTCGAAGTGGGCAATGATAAATTATTGGGGGCATAGTGCACTTTCAGCTCGTGTCTGGCATTGCAATTTAGATAGATATATTAATAGATATAGATATAGCTACATTTATGGCGAAAATATGATGTATTGCGCTTAGTAATTGACATTGCCTGATGTCATACCAGAAGCAAATATAATTCATAATTTTTGTCAGAGATTAAAGTAATTTTTTCGGAAATTAATTGCAAGAGTTTATCCTGATCTGCTGAGTTCTTAGAAAATATTTCCGAGTCTATTAAACATTACTGAGTAAGTTGTCTAAATTGTATTTTTAGTAAGAAATTGTCTTGAGTAGATTCCTGTTTTTATTATAAAAAAAAAACACCTTAGTAGCTTTACCGAAAAAATTGCTGACATTTAAATTAATAAAAAAAAAAAAAAAAAAAATTATAAAAAATGCGATTTTTATATTTAAAAAAATTGTTTTTTTTTTTCAATTTTAGTTCTTCTTAGTTAACTATAATTATATATATTCATTAAAATCTCTTATAAATTTTTGTATCACAAAGTATTATAAGAATATTTTACATACTTTTATTAATGCCACGAATAGCTATAATAAATTCTATTAAACAGATCTCAAAGTTTACACCAAGAGCTAAGGACGCTGATACACTTTGAAGGTAATTTTAATTGCAAATTAATTTTCTAGACTGTTCAATAGCTCGATTTGTTTAAATATTTAACACATTTTTCAATTTATCATTTTCTTCCCCAGACTTTGCCTTGAATGCTGACAGCAGATATATTTTTTTGTTTTTGACCTATTCCAGAGACGCGGTAAAAAACGAAACCAATCAAGGTCCGAGCTCTGGCCGAAACTAACGGGTCGCAAGCGAAATTGGCATAAACAATAATACAAAATTGTTAACAATTTCCTCTAAAAAAAACCAAAAGCAGAATGCGAGAAACAAGTTAAGTTAACGGAGCAAAGAGCGTTGCTTAGGTCATTGACCAAAAAAAGAATTATTGTTATTGTAAAAATAAGAGAGAGAGAGAGAGTGCCACTACCAAAATCGTAGTCATTGGAGCACTCGCTCTCTGTGCTGCTCTCTTTCGCTCATTTGCTTTGGTGCCCGAGCACGTTTTCCAAGAAAAAAGCCAACGACGCTACTTTTTGTTTATGTGTGTGTGCATGTGTGTGGGGAGCTCTCCCACAACCGCGCACCCATACATGTGCAAATACGACATACGGTCTATGAGGGCTGCCTCTTTGCTTTTTTGGCAAAGCCAACCACAATACTTTTAATAGCAATAACAATAATAACACGCAGCAGCAGCAGCAATAACAACAACAACCGCACACACTAAGGAAAGTTTTTTTTTTGTCGTTTTTTAGCGCCGTTGTATGGCACAAAGCGGTGCGCGCTTACGTCATTCATAAAAATAAAAACGCAGCGCAAAGCAACTGAGTAGCTCCGCTGACTCGCTATCTCACTCTCAGTGTCTCTCTTCCTTTGTTGTTGCTGCTTTTTGTTTTTGTATGTTGTTCTTGTTCTTGCTGCTGCTTCTGCTGCTGCTCGTTCTCGCTTAGCTATTTACCTGAAGAATATTTTAACCATTTTGTTTGGCATTATTTAATCAACTGTCGTTGCTACTTGACACGCTTATTGCTCATATTTTAACAAATTTGAACTACATTGCCACGATTAGCGCGATTGTGTTTTATTTTCAGGTTTTGTTTTAATCGGCCGCAGGTTTTGTTTTGCACACACAAAAATCTACTACTTTTCGTTTTGATTTTCGCGTAGCACTGAGCTTCTTGTCAGTTCAGTGAGTGGGGAAAGACGTTAACAGCAGAATGGCACTGTCCCTTATTTATCGCTTAGCCGCCACAATTGATCGGAATAGGCAGTTTTGTAGATAAAGCAACAGCTGTTCTGTTAAATTCAATAATTCGCGCCAATGCCTGTAAAAATGTGAAATTGGAATATATTTCATATTTACAAATGTATTTTAGCTGCTTCTATTTTCAAAACACATATATTAAATAACATAAATGGCTTTTTCTAATGCTTTTGATATAATCAATTGATGTATACCTGAAATTACATTTTCATTAGTATAAAGGTAATGTGCTCAGAATGGCACTGCTGTTGTATATCTAGAGTTGACACATATACAAATAAAGGTTGGTTTCTGTGACTATTGGCAATGACATAGCGGTGAGCAATTTTATATGAGCAGAAACGCGCCAAATTTAAAATTATAAAATGTGTATGACGAAATGCTCATTAATTATACATAAGAGCAAAGCAAAAGCAATGTAATGTTAGTCATTATAAATAGACACTTTGTCCGGAATTCCCACTTAGCTGGATTTCATTGTCACTCGCAATATCTTAATTACAAGACTCGCCGCCTCGAGTGTCTCGATATCTGCAACGCTCTTTTCAGCAGCGGCTCGTCTTATTGTTCTCGTTTAATTGCAATTACCTGTCAGATTTACGGCCAGTGCTTGCCTCTCGTAATTGTAATTGTAGCAACAACAAGTACAACAGCAGTTGGCGCCACCTGCCGCCCACCACTGAACAACATATTTGCATTGTATAATTGCCACTCGAAGCGCCTCCTACTCGCACACACATGCAAGCACTCGCACACACACACATACACAGACGCATGTTATTGGGCTTCTCATTTTCACACATGCCGTTAAAGTGGCGCATTTCTTAATGAATATGCAACAATGAGAGCTCAACTCAACTCGACTCGCGTCAACTTAACTCAACTCGACTTGACGCTCCGCTGCCACTGCTGCTGCTGTTGCTTATCCCTTTTGACCACACCAGTTGCACGATACCTGTTAATGAGTTACTCAAGTGGTCAGAGTCGTGAGCAGAGAAGGAGAGGGGGAGGCAGAGCTGAATAATGTATCATATGAGAATTTAAAACTGAAATTGCATGTGAAATAATAAAGTAATACATTTATGATAAATATACTTTAACTAATTGATTAATTAAAATTATATTTCTATATAATTATTTACTCCTTACATCTCAATATTATAAATACATTCAAGTAATAAAATTAAAATTCTGTTTTTACATAATGCCTTTTATTTAGCGAGCAAATCCTGATCAATATTTCCACAAGTTTAATAGATGTACGATGGTAGAAGATCTACCACCTACATCGAGTCTTGTAGCATTCAGCTTTTGTCATGCAGCTGACCTAACTACTCCTTTATGGATTTATATACATATACTTTATAGAATTTCGTTTTTTTTTTTTTGTAAAAGGTAGGGCAACAATATCAAAATATGAAGTCGCCTTGTTAGCCCTCCGGCGGTAAATTGTGGCATTAAGTTGGCCAAATTGAATTACTTAAGTATTTTGGCATTGTTTACTCGAAGGGTGCAGCCGCCCCTGACCCATTCATACGGTTCCTGTTCCGACTGCTGTTGCTTTCAGCTTGGTCCATTGCTCTGTTGATTTTTGGCTTTTCACAGATTTCAATGTGGGTGGCTTACAGCATGGTTCATGGTTCATGGCCCACGGCGCATATGCTTCATGTGCAATTACATTTTTTTGCTCCACTGTGCTCGTTCTTGTTATTAGTTTTTAATTTTTGGTTGCAATTTGGAATTCATTTGCAGCGGGTTGTTTAAAAGAAAAAGAGTGGAGCATAAAATATATAATTTTTAAAAATTAAACATCATTCGTTATATAATTATATTAGAGCTAAAAGTTATTAATTTATAATAATAATTGTTTTTTCTTTTTTTTTTTTTATATATTATTTTATATAAACCAATGCATGAGTACTCATATCAATACCATCAATAATAATAATAAAAATAAATATGAGAATAATCTAACTATTACTAATAATAACTATGGAAATAAATTTATTTATTTTATTAGCAATATTAGGAAATATGGAAATAAACTTTAACTTTAAAATAATTCTAATAATAAACAATATTCTTCACAAATATTAATTTGAATAATAATATAATAATAATATTAAAAACATTTAATTTATTTTAATAATAAAAAAAAAAAAAAAAAAAAATATATATATATATATATATATATTTTTTTTTTTTTTTTACAGTAAAATCTCGATAATTCAAAATGGTAAGGGGATCAGTTTTTCTTTCGATTTACACAGAAATTCAAAAATTTCGAGAATTGTTGAGAACGAATTTCTTTCGTTTCAAATGAAATTAAAATCATTTTATCTATAAAATTGCTAAATGGAACAAAATTATATTAATTATATTCATAATATTGCTAAATGAAAAAACAGCTCAGCTTATAATAAAGCAAACAAATACATTAAATAACGAATGTTTATTCAAGTCCTTATTTAATTATTTAAAATGATTACTTGGATTTTTAGTTATTCTCAAGTAAATCTAATTTAATAACAAAAAAATTTTTATTTTACATTCTTTTCTTCTCATTTAATGGAAATGACACGCATTATTCGCACTTCTTCTTTGCTTCACCCTGAATCTTTGTATGCAAGGTCTGTAGTCCCTTCACTCTCTCTCTCTCTCTTTCTCTATCTCTCTCTCTATCTCTAAAAATACATGCGTATGTTACATTTAATGAACGACATTTTTGTATGCATGTCGCCGATGTGAATGCAAATTTGATTTGATGTTCATTAAATAAAAAAGCAAAAAAAAAAAAAGGAGAATATATATGTACATCTTTATATATAATTATCTGGAGTTACAGTTAGATGCCTGTGGAAGTGCCACCCGGGGCGCTATCAGCACTTGGCTGAAGTGCCGCTGGCTGGTGGTGCAAGTGGTTCGACAAGTGGTAGGCACCCACTTCTGTATGCATATTAAGATGCCAGCAGCTAACTTAATTTGGCCCAACTAGAGAGGGCCTCTGGGCGGGCCGTAAACCCTTCCAGCATCGTCTTAATGGACTTAATAAAAAATGCAACATTTTGATTTAATTTAATTGAAATTCACGCCACTCGAGCAACTCCATTAGGCAGAAACGTGTCCACGGCATTCAAACAGAGCGCGACGCAAATCAAATTACCATGGACGAGGGAGTGTGCATGGGGCTGGGGAGGGGGCTGGCTGGGTTTCATGTAAGGTCGGCTCAATAAATATTGTCAAAACACTTGTCAAATGGCCAAACAAAGCGTGTGAGTGAGGGTGAGAGGGATTTGGCGGGCGGCGAGCAAATAAGCCACTGGCTACAGTCGAAAGAGGCCTTGTCCATAGCCGAAAGCATTGAGTGGGCGTGCCCTATTGCCAGTGCCACCAAATTAAGCAGGAGCGGAGCGGAGCACTGAATGGGCGGGGAAAGAGTGGGAGCTGGGGGCCTTGGGCCATTCGGCAGTCGGCTGCAAATCAATTTGATTCGATTTAAATTTAAAAGCATCTGCAAGACGTCGCCAGCATTGACTGAGTGCCGTTTCCCCTTCTGCCTCAGCTGATGCTGATGCCCCCCTCGCCCACTCTCGTTGGTCTTCCCCCCCAAAAATTCCCCTTGGCGTTGATCTTGCGCGTGATTTTCATGTTAAAGTCACGTGCCGCAGACGCGTGCCATTGACATAAGTTTTCAGTTTCCAGTTGCAGCTACCCAAAAAAAAAAAAAAACAGCAACAGCTACAGCTAAAGGGGGTGGCAAATGGGCGCATGGCTAGTTCTTGTTGCTTCTGCTTCTTCTTCTCTTGGTTGTGACATGTGTGCAGGCCTGCGTGTTAAATGTTTGATTTAGCTATCAGTTTAATTCTATTAGTCGAGCTGCCTTCTTAACACATTCAGACATTCGCTTGGCATGTTTGCACTCGTGTTGTCAATGCTGAGAGATAAGCCATAGAAACATGCTCTCAATGACCAGGGGGCGGCACTCGAAAGTGGGACAGCACACTATATGTAATATAGGGTATTTTATCGTCATTTAAATTGGAACTGAAATCAAAGCTAATTAGGAGACTCTTATCAGACTGAAATGGAATTTGGACTTTAGTTAACTAAGCTTAAGCTTAACTTAAGCTTAAGAAAGGGAGACTACTGAGCTCCCACTAAGTTAAGAGCGAGTCTTCAAGGAGGAACCATTAATTATATAAATACAGTGATACAATTTGTCAATTTCAAATACAATTAAATTATTTAATAATTGCAATTTAACAAGTGTAAATGGTAAGTTATAGATTGCTAAATTAATAATTATAGTACACTGAAAGATTAACTTTGAAAGTGTTTTGATATATATCTCTTTAAAAGTTAATCATTCAATCTTTTAAAATATTTTTTAAAAATATTATAAATTTTGCAATCTACAAATTTAATCAATTTAAAATTTACAAAAAAAAAATATATATAATTATTAATGTTGTTCACTGTGTTTATATAATTAATGGTTCCTCCTTGAAGACTCGCTATACGTGTACAAAAAAAAAAAAAAAAAAAAAAAATAAAATAAAAAAATAAAATAAAAAAAAATAATAAATAAAATAAAATAAATAAATTAATAAAAAAATATTTAATTTTTTTTTGCTTTATTTTAGTTACTTTAATATTTTCTTTTTTGTTTAAGAACTGAAAACATTAAAGTTTAATTAAAAATTATCTTTATTTCGTTTATTTATTTCATTATATATAGGGAAACAGGTCATCTTTTCACATTACTATCTTTCTTGAATCTTATTAATAAGCACAGGCATAAATTCTACACAAATTTAAATTTATATGTGAATCATATTTATTTTTTATATTGTCCCTTAGACGTTTTTGTATATTATATATATTATTGTATATATATATAT